TTAAACACACTGAAGAAAAGACCAGTGTAACTGGTTGGCATTTAGATGTGTATTTAAGAGGAGAGTTCTGCACAGCAGAACAAACATTTTCAAGCAAAGAAGAAACTTAACATTTACAATCAATTGTTAGTATACTCATTAAAAGGAAAAATCCCTAATTTTTAATATGTGGTACGATACTACATACTATAATTAACTATATTATACAAGGAGCTGATATTCTTGATTCTGCATTTGACGTCAAAGACTGTATACCGGTGTTTGTATATCATTCATTTCAGGATATATTTCATATGTTTCATAAGTTTGTTTCATAATTATCAAGACCAATATGTTTTAAACACTCTGAAGAAAAGACCAGTGTAACTGGTTGGCATTTAGATGTGTATTTAAGAGAGTTCTGCAACACAGCAGAACAAACATTTTCAAGCAAAGAAAATGCTTAACATTTACAATCAATTGAATCTAATTAACCAAAGCGTTCCGAAACCAAATCAACATTTATATAGCAAGGGAAACCACACTTCTGCTTTGTCTGAAAATACACTCCTTATTTGGTTGTTGGTTTGAAATACAATTTTCAGAAACTGAGATCAGCAATAGTGTCAGCTGCTGAAACTGTAACATTAAGTTGACTACAGTTCTTCACTTGACCTCTTTCAGCCGTAGCTCATGCCTTAAAACAAAAACACTCATGCATTCAGCTGCTAGTACAGGAACTAAAACTATTCTCAAGGAAAGCTACAAAAACATCTCCTACTAGAATTAAACAACTTATTGTACGTGAATTTTTCAAATAATGTTATATATGTTTGTAGACAGTTTTTTCCTCGGTGTGAAGAAAAGAGAGGGGAAGAAAGGTGCAATAAATATGCTGGAACAGCATGCAACTTCCTGCCGGGAATCCAAGATATGTTACTTATTTAGACATACTGATTAAAGAATCTGCTACTTGTAGATTTATCTACAGCAAGTGAAAATACACAAAATCATAACAAGAAATTAAAGATAAGCAACTAAACGCACCTCAGTGTTAGGAATTTGGTAAGGTATGTGCATAATTGACAATGAGGAGAAAATAAACTAAAGTTCTCTTGGTACTGCCAACAAATTTTGTTAACAATCTTCACTCAGGAAAATATGAGCATTTCCACATGTAATCTTCACGAAAGTTTTCTGAATGTAACAACAATGACTGATATCAACAAGAGAAGATAAGTGGAAGAATGGTGTTAAACCAGGGGAAGCAGGAGGACTAAGAAGCTGTTGCTGAAATATTTTTCTCCCCCCAAGTCATAAACCAACTGTTCATCTTTCAAAAACCACCAGTCTGAATTTTCTGTGAAAAAGGGAAAACGTGCAATTCTTAGTGTGACTGTGTGGGAAAGAGTTTTTTATATATATGTGATTTAGTGAAAAGCCTCTTCAAGGATCACATTGCATTAGTTTTTGCTCCTGCTCTGAACGGGTGCCATACCTGCTACAACTACTGCTGCTCACACTGCTCTATGTGGAAAGTTCTAACAAAAATGAGACGTTGCATGGGGGTGATTCAGGAGCACAAAGATAACAGAATGATAAACCATTCAGGCAAATGAGGTAAGCCCACCATCTTAGCGGAGGGGAATTTCAAACTTGAAAATTCACTGCAGAAACCTCTATTGTAAAGCAAAATGAAGGATTACTTCCTTTAAAAAGAAAACAAAACACAAACCCCAAGATATTTCAAGTGACAGATGCTGAGCTCTTGCGCACCATGTCTTGAACACTCTGCATAATTCTCATCCCTCAGCTCTAACAGGAGACACTAGAATTTGAAAGATATGGGAAAGGCTAAGGAGAATAACTAAGTGCTGTATTTTTTCTTTTTTTAATCATTAAATGTACCTAAGTCTCAGGTCTCTAAAGTATTGACCTACTTTGCCTTGTCATTTTAAAAAGTGACATAAATATACATTAATTACTTTAAGGGATATATGAAGTACCAGGAATTTTCACCTTAGCTAGAAACTGACATTATTTAGCCAGATTTTCTTGCATGCTGTTTCTATAAAGTGTTTTCAAGATTAGAGACGACCTCTGAAGTGATATATCTCAAAATAATTAAAAAAAAATTTAAAAAATATTTCTTAATACATCTTTATGATGGTCCAGCGCCATTATTTTTCAGCACATTTTCATAACATACTTCATCCATATGATTCAGCTGCTGCACCTGAAAAACAAACATCATACCTCATATTAAAAGCATTTCTATCTTTATATATTTTCTACTCCATATCAAGCAATTTACAGTGATCCATGAAAAAAAAAAAAATGTGATTATGAAATTAAATTTATAATATACTGATTCCCATTCCTAACAGTATCTTTTTGGTATTCTTCAATTCACAAACAGAACATGAAAATAAGTAGATAACATACAAAGAAGGGCAGTGGATAGAAAATTTATTACGTGACTTTGTTATTTTTTTAAATGACGAAAGAGACGTAACCCAGTTCTATTCTTTAATTTATCTGTTTCATATTAAGGAATCTTACTTCTACAGGATATTGATGAAGTATCCATTTAATACATCATCTTACCTAACATTAATTCTTTCCCAAACTACAAAAATAGTTTTTACATTGCAGATATATATAACCAGGAAATTACCGATTGTCAGCTTTTTTGCCATAGAAATCAGAAATTTCTTCATAGTTGTGTCATGCACAGGGAACAGTGGGAGTACAGTGTACGGAGTTTCCAATTATGGATAAATAAAATGTTTCAAAAAGGTTAAAAAAAAAAAAGAGTTCAGTTAAAATGAAAAGTATTCTTCAAGCTACTCTAAAGATTTTTTTTCCCCAATTTCTTTAATGTAGCACAATATAAATAGCATGTATCTACTCGAATGCACCTCAGTATTAAGGTTGTGACAAATCAAAATAAATAAATGAAGTTCAAAATCAGAACAATCACTCCATTCTTCATTTGTGCATTCATGGGTGGAAAGAAGATAGTGGTTTTATAACCAAATTTTTTTGAAACAAAGAAATGTTTTACAAGCAAAGCACATAAGAATTCAAAAATGGAAGTTTAGTACTTGGAGTTACCTAGAACAGCTGAAAGTTGAAAACCACAGCTTTAAAACAGCATTAGAGGGAAGAAGAGAACATTCACATTTGGCATCCCACAAGCATAGTAATAAAAAGATGAGACAATACGAACATGTGTGCAAGAGACAAGTAGCCGGTCTAATTATTCTGAAAACGAGAGGTTAGCATTTTAATTATTTTTTCAAATAATAACAAGTGAAAATCATTAAGGAGAAATGTATATAGGCAGTGCATAAATACAAATGTGGACATATATATACACACGTACATACAAACACAACTTTATGTATTCTTTGCATTTATACCTAAAGAGGAAAACATAAACATGCATAAAGAAAAATACCTGACATTAACAGACCTCTGACTGAAGAAGCCAAACTTCAGTCTTGGTCCCATATGCTCTAAGAGTTTCAATGTACAGAGTTTTAAAAGCTTTCCTGGCTAACTTCTATGCATAATAAATACACCATGCTGCCCTTAACTTTGAAAGCTTGCCTACAGTTTGCATGTGATTTGGCAAATCACTAATCAGTTCCAAATTTTTTGGGAGGTTTTTTGGATGAAGGATGTCAGAAAGCTGTGGCAAAGCATCTACCTAAATAAACTAACAGCCTTCTATCTCCTTGTAACTCATCAGTGTGGATATAGACATAGTACTTATTGCACTTGCTGATGTTCTGCAAGAACTGCTTTTGATTCTGGGGGTTTTTACATTGCTTTCCTCCTCTTATGTAGGGCAGAAGGATGTTGATATTGGCAATAATTTGGCAGATTTAGGATTCTATTCAGGATAACGCTAATACTTTCTCAAAGAGGCTTAATACTTTTACTTTTCATCTGCTATGAAGTGTATTATCTTGATTGCAAAATGTATTTTACTCCCTGAAATCTGTAATGACATTCTTCTGAAAAGCAGAAAGAAACTCCTGGCTGCGGTATTACCAAAACAGTTGTCTTCGTCTGCTAGGTACTCACATTTCAGAATAACTACTACCTCCTAATATTTCCTCATGTCCTCATGTTTTTTTTAGAAAACTTGCTGGTTTTTAGTAATTTCAAACTTTATAGGATAATTTGAATATTTCTTTGATTTTTAAATCACAAATGCATTCTAAAGTGAGTATGAAGAAATGGAGTCTTTCCTTTTTTCTTACCATAGAGTGGAAATAAACTAAATATTCAAATCAAGTATCAGGAAAAGATTAAAGAAAAGCAGCAGCAAATAACAGGGAAGGTACTTGAAACAATTAATGAAGGTTAAAATATGCAAATCATGGTAAGCACCATATGGTAAACTATTCTTGTGTGTATAGACTTGAAATGGCTCCCTACAGTTGTAAAATAAGTTTCTTTCCTGCACTGCAGATGGAATGAACTACTTAAATAACCTGGTAAGAAAGGCAATGTCCATTTTTACAAAAAAGAAAAAAAATGCCATTATTTATTAAGCTATGAAATTAACTTTTGATTGAAAATGTTTGGTTTCTGTTAAATCATAGCAGAATAAGATTTTCTAAAAGTTGAGCTATATAAGCTTTAATTATCAGCTAGTGAGATGCATAGGAAACCTTATGGAAAAGTGTTTTAATTAATTCCTGTATTAAAAGAATTATAATTTACGTTTCAAGTGGCACTGCACTTATGATTTTTAATAAGAATATTATACCTGACCACAGCCTTACTGCTTCCCAAAATAAGCAAGAGCACAAAGAGTAAAGAAGCTTATTTAGGGACTACTTTAACGTGTTTTCTACCAGATATGCATATATGACAGTTAATGGCTTAGCATGCTAAGGTTTTCATCAATAACTTATATCCAACTAGTATTAATGCATGTCATATTAGTCTCTCTCTCTCTCCAGATTTCATAAACGAATATTTTCTTAAAACTTTCCTCATGCATCCTTACAGCCAAACAAGAAGCACCGCTGTTTCTAGCAAAATGGAAAACTGAAACGAGAAAGGCAGAAAAATCAGCTGCTACAGTAACTCTGCAGTTGAGGGTGATGATTTCTCCTTAATCAAGCAAAACTTTCTAGCGAAGCGGAGGCAAAGCAAAGCTAGATACCATTGTATCCAATTACAACAAGGCCTATTTACAAGTATTGTAAACTGAGGAAACACAATTCTTAAAGCACCTTTCAATTATGCATATCTTTATACAGAAGAAAATATGCTTCATAAAACACCTGTAGCATAATAAACCAGTACCCCCTACACATACATACATGAAGCATGATCAAAACAAACAGCAACCCTTTTTTTGGCATTCATGATACTTTACCTTATTGGTTGTCTTAATTCCTATAAAGGTTTGCCCCAGCGGTACCGGTCGGAAACGGCCATCGAAGTAGAATAGTCCAATGCAGGGATTGACATGTAGAAATGTAGCAACATCAAGATAATTGGGTAATGTAGCTGAAAGGCCCAAAATCCTAATCATACTTTGTGTAGATTCAACCTATTAAAAAACAGAAAACCTGTAAATGATCCAAGTGTTATAAACCAAGAAATCAAGCACAGAGTTTTAAAACATCTCTTATAAAACAGTAATGTGAAAGAAGCATTTAATACTTTCTACAAAAGGTGAACAATAGATGTTAGTGATTACCCTGTATTGAAGAAACCAGAGCACTCTGCAATTCCATCAAATCTTGCTTATTCATCTTTCTATTTTATTGTACTTTTGCCCTCCAAAAGGTTAGCAGTAATTAACTGACATGGAGGAACAATAGCAGTAAAACTGGCTTTGTTAAGAAGGGATAGTCCAATTTATAGGCAAAACTAGGACAGATAATTTGGTACAATTTCTTCCTTAGTCCAAATCACACCCCAATTCTGAAAAGAAAGAAGAATGTAATTCATATCATTCCTCAGTCTTGGCTTTTGCTTAGACCTTTCCACAACTCTCTCAGGCAATGTATTCTAGTTTATTACTATCTGCATTTCTCCAGTATGTAGCACTACTTCTGCAGAGTTGAAGATATTTAAATACCAGGAAGTCGCTCTGTAACAGACATTTTTTCTATCTTTTTTTTTTTTTTAAAAATGCCCCAAATGTTTGCATTACATGCCTTCCCATTTGATAAGGGACAGAAATGGTGCTTTACAATGAAATACTCCGTTTCATATAAAAGCCTGCATATTATATATATTTCCAGGTAATTTTCAAAAAGAATGAAACCAGCCAAAAGACTTGAAAGAGGAAAGTACACAAGAATTTTCCCATCTCCTTCTGGAATATTAAGAGCCATGTAGGCTGGCTCACAACTTTCTTACTAGCATAATTATTTAGAAGCAAAGTTCACAGTAATTTTCATCAAAAGGCTTTTTATACACTGTAACTGAAGCCGTATACGAGGTTCTCAACTTGTCTCAAATGCGTGAATGTCTCATGATGAGTAAGGCTGGTAACTTCTACCTGGCTAAGTCCTGTTCAAAACAATATGAGGTTTTACTTAGAATACTTTTTGTTACTTTGAGTTAAAGTGAAAGGAAGTGCCATGTAATTAAAACAGATGAATTAAAAGTTTTCAAAAAAGATGATTAAAAAGTATATGAAGATCATTGCCAAGGAAGATCAAATACACCATACCATAACACAGACCTGGCGAGTAACAAGCACACCAAAATAATAAACCAAATCCCAAAAGAAACCACCCCCCACAACTCTACAGACATCAAGCAGACAAAGTAAACCACTACATTGCCTGGTAACGGACATGTCCCATGGCAAAAATTTGGATGCTTAAACTGTGGACTCAACCAACTAAACAACACAGAAAACCTGCTGCTTGACCCTTTTGCACTTATACAAAGAGCAGCTTTGCAAAGGAAAGCCCATGTACAACAAAATCTTATATGTAAATGCAAATTTTGAGATGACTGGGACAAATGAGAGATTTCATTTTCAAAAGTCTTCCATCTGCAGGGAACAAAAGCAGCATTCACCTTGAACAGTACAAAGAAGCATTACCATCTCTTACACATCTTTTTACAGCTGGATTATGTGATGACCTAAGGGCTACAGTCAACCTCAGTGACACAGTTTTGAGGTGTTTGAGGTTTTTTCTTTTTTTTGCAGGGGGGTGGTGGTGGTGGTGTGTGGAGTGGGTGGTTTTCTTTTTTCTTTCTTTGGTTGGTTGGTTTTGGCTCCATCCCCTGGAGCACCACCTCCTTCTGCACTGACCTTGCTGTCTGCGGTGTTGTTTCTCACACTTTTTTCCCTACTTCTCTCTCTCTCAACTGCTGCACAGTGATTTTACCCTTTCTTAAATATGCTTCTACAGAGGCACCACCAGCCTGGCTGCTGGGCTGAGCTGTGTGCTGCGGTGGATCCATTGGAGGTGGCTGGAACTGACTGTGTCCGGCACACAGCAGCCCTGGCCTCTTCTCACAGAGGCCACCCTGCAGCCCCTGCTGCCAGTACCTGGGCACCTGCACCTGGTACAAAAGTTTAATTAATGTTTATACGCTTTTTTTTTTTTTAACCTGAATCTGTAAGAACAGTAGCCACTTGCTGATATATTTATCCTGTACTTTGTTCACAATCACCTGATAATAAGTACAACAATCTGAAAGTATAACTGAGCTCCAATCTGGAAAACATTATTTGATTTTGCCAAATTCAGTAACAATTTTTTTCAAATCTCCTAAGAGCCTGAAAGCACTAGCTTGAAAATGTGCTCAGTTCCAATCTGTAAGAACAGTAGCCACTTGCTGATATATTTATCCTGTACTTTGTTCACAATCACCTGATAATAAGTACAACAATCTGAAAGTATAACTGAGCTCCAATCTGGAAAACATTATTTGATTTTGCCAAATTCAGTAACAATTTTTTTCAAATCTCCTAAGAGCCTGAAAGCACTAGCTTGAAAATGTGCTCAGTTCCATCTGAAGGTAGGAAAGCATTTCAAGTGTTTAAACAATTAACAAGAACTCTGCTTAATAACCATGGAATTGTGAATTTTTACAGCAATTAACTGTAAGTTGTTTGTTCAGAGTTTACTTTCAAAATATAAATAATGCCTAGAGAACAGTTACAGTTTAGTTACGGAGACTTGCCACTTTCAAAACCTTTGTAAAAAGAAGCCATTTAACTTCACTAATCTGGCAGTTGGCCCTGGAGTTAAGAAGCTGATTGAAAACCCTGAATTACAACTCCACATGAAAACCACAGCAGAGAGTTAACACAAGCAAGTAATTAAAATTACTAATATGCATAGCACATTTTTAAACAAAATATGTTTTTGTATATTTTATATTATACTTTACATATATTTTTGTATATGTATATAGTGCCTACATATTTTTTTCAATTTAGAAATCTAAAATTTACAAATTATTTGGACAATTAGTTTTCTATTTATATCACGCCACAAGAATCTAGTCAGCGTGCTATAAGAAATCAGGCAATAATGTATTTTGCTCTATAGTAACATTTTGTTAGTCTTCGTAATTAAATAAAGACTATTAAGACTCTAAATCATTCCATCAATATCTTTAACTTCTTTCAAGGCCATCCAAACAAAAAAAAAAATCTTTATTTTTTTACCATCTACTTTTATATCCACTTAGCATCACAAAATATCAATTATAAATATATATAAAAAAAAATCAAGAAGCAAAAAGAGGTACATTTACTCTAAAAGACAAAACGTATCACAACTACTCTCCCAGTTATTTTATGCTCACATCAAATTAAAACTGTAAACTAAAACCCTATGTGTCTGCACATCATCACATTCATATACAGAATGACTTTTTTTATTCTTTTAATAGTACACGGCAATATACAAACAGCAGTGACCAAAACTGTGCTAAACTTAAAAGTTAGAAAAACAGAATTATCTGAATATGCAACCATAACACATGATTTATTTTTGCATTTTCTCTGTGATTATAATTCAGTTTCAATTACTTATCTATTATTCATCTATCCAAGCACTATAAAGACTTTATTTTTCATAACGGTTTTTAGAATTCTAACACATTTTTAGAACAGAGTTCTCTGCAAACATTTTTCAACTACTTTTCTGACTTTCCCTTTAAGAGCAAGCATTAATATGTTTTGCTCTCAGATGCTTCTAAACAAAAGTATTTCTTGAAAGTGTGCAGATGCCCTTTGTAAATACAGTCTATTCAAACATTAATATTTTTCATGTGCTGGATCAGTTATTATTTGGTCCTAGAAGTCCCAATTAGAGATTGCGCCTTCATATACAAGACACTGTGAACACATAATCTTTTCCTGAATTTGCAGTAAAAATTACTGAAAAGACATTTTGGATCACAAAGTTTTCTGTTTACATTCCCTATCACTGGCTGGTGGTATGCAGCTAAGTGCATTTTCTTCACTACTGGCACACAATCTCAAACATTTTAATCTTCATATGTGTTTAATTATCTCTGTAAAAATATAAGCACCATTTGGAACTTACAAGGCTTTCTTTGGAAAACTGAACTGTCACAGTATTTGCACATCATGTTCTTTGAAAGCTTTACTATATTTTATTGATTTGATATTACACTGGGAGTAAGAAATAAAATTGCCATAACTATATTTAAATGACATATCTAATTAGTATATCTAATTCAGAAGCATTCACGATGGCATGTGGAGAATTGACAGCATGTTCATCATACACGTTCACAGAACATGATTATCACACCATGAAATTCCATGTATACAGAAAAAATAAAGAGAAGACAGCTCTCCAGCACCGATTTCCACACTCAAGCATCATCCGCATTTACACTGTAAATGATAAAGGATCAGGTATTGGAAGTGCCTCTCTGGATTGTAAATTGATCACAGCAGGATCGTTTTCTTCCTAATAGGTTTTAAGATTTGCATATCATCTCATTACATTACCGCCGCCACTTGAGAGCATACAGAGTATGCATAGAGATACTCTTTTATCTGACTTCTAAAGTTCTTCCTGAACTTTGTGATCTTGGCAGTCTTCCCATTTCCATGTATTAAAATATCACATCCACAGAATGAATTACAATCAAGCTGGAAAGCATATCCCTGATTTTTCAACTCCAGCACAGAATTAAGTGAAGCAGAGAAGTTTACATATTCTAATCTTTGAAGAACTGTCCACTGGTTAGAAATTAATCTGATATTCAGATGACCCAGGATCACTTCAACACACCCTCTTTCAGTCTGTATGCCCTTCAGATGTACACTGAAGACAAGATACACAGAAAATTAGACACAAGTGTTTCTTAGTTTTTAGTCTAGATGTGCAAGAAGATGAACTCTTAATGTAGGTTCCTGAGTTCTCTGCTCAACAGTGGTAGGAATGAAGTACTGCATACAGGGATTTACATTAGTTATTAGTTAGATAGCACTCTTACCCCGAGAATGCCTCTAAGTCTCAGCCTCTCAAAAGACCTATGTTTTTCACGTTATCCAAAAAAAAGGAGAAAAAGAAAGGAAAAAAAGGAGGA